AAGTTCGTAATCACGAGGGTATTTTATTGCTTTGACGGACGGTGGCCAGACTTTGTAAGGAACTGATTGCGTGCAGCCTTAAGGCGTTGGTTGACCCATGCAGAGAAGGAAGTTCTAAACTTTACTTTGTGAGGCATGATAAAACTGGGGCAACGAAGACTAGCCGCAGCAGAGAAACGAGATAACGTTGCCGATCATAGGACCAGATGTTTATTGTAAGTTAAGAGCAGTTTCTTTCTGGTTTTTATTTCGAGATCGGTTCAAAGGGTGCACACGAAATTTATATTTCATAAGATTTGGAGTTGAAGCAGTTATCTGTATAATGGCAAATATTACAAAAATTCAGTGTAAGTGCAGTATATTCTTTCCCATTTGGCGTTGCTATTCCGTTTTTGGCTTTCCGAAATTTCCCTTCGTCTATCACATGCGTGAAAATTACGGTTAGTAAAGAAGGAATTACTCTTGGAAGGGAGTCCAAATTACAGATGTACTACAGTTAGCTACAATTGTTACGGGGTAGATGATTCTGTACTCTAAATTTGGTTTTGGGCATATAATTCTGTCTGTTCGAGGGGGCGATCAACAAAATTTGCTTCACTTGGCCCACCGACGCGAGACTCCACGGTATATTTATTGGTTTTATGTAGAATGTTTCGCGATATCGTTTTAATTGGAGTAAGGCTTTCATATAATATTTTTAGTATAAATTTGATTCCTTCACATTTAAATGTCCAGCCTCTGACCGTTGTTTCGAGACCAGTAATTTGATTCTTTGCAATGCATTTCCTATTATAGGATTTGTTGGCTTTTGTGACACATTATGACCTTCCATGTATCTCCATTAATTTTGACTCCCCTGCTGTTCAAATTCATCATACTTTCGTAAGAATTCGTGAACCAGTATGCGCATGTATATATATCCGCAGAGAATAAAATTAAATATGTAATGAATAATTTTTATGTATTACAGAGTACTAATTATACTTCGGAACAGTAAATGCTCTACGTTCTGGGATATAACGTCGCATAGTCAACATTTTCTGCAAAAAATATAGTCAACATTGATGTAAACAGTATCGATCTGTAATTGACAGTGTATGAAATATCTCATATGGTCCCAAATGAGGCTTTACGTGTACCTATTCAGAACTGCTGTCCTATATCCCCCCTCCCAATCCTTTGCGGTGTTCGAAGGCTCCATTTGATAACTGAGGAATAACATGATTTGTTCAGCGGGCACGGTTATATTTCCTTAACTATTAAATTTCCTGTTTGGGAGTGGCGTTTGCCTCGTTTTGTTAGCAGTTATATATTTGTAACAACGATGCGGCTCTGCTTGGTATTGTAACGTGGATTGCCAGACCGTTGCTGGGTGACGGATCGGTAAACATAAGTGATATATGCTGGCAACAGAACAACAACGACGTTATGCAACCCGCTTCTAGGAAATGGTTCAGTATACATACTTCCGCGCAGGCGCAATGACGTCACACCGCAACAGTGGTAGCTATCACGTAACTGGCTTTCTGTGGAGTCCGTGCCCAGACCGTTGCTATGCCATCGCTTTGTCCAACAATATAGACTGTTTTCTGTGTGGTCAATGCGGAGGCCAAGACGAACTGATTGGCGGTGAACTGCCAGTCGTAAAGTAACTCTGACTCTGAAAAAAAAAAAGTAAGTTCTACTCTGCTCTGCTCTGCAGATTTCAGTATTTGGAAATATGAGGGAGTATTTGTAAGTGCATGTATTTAAATGTAATTAAAAGAGTGTGTAACCACGCTGCTAATAAATCCAATCATCCGAACTAGAACCCGTCATTTTGTCACGCGTACCCCCCTACACGTGGCAGTATCTTGTGGTAGGAGAGGAGTGCCGCAGTGCAACTGCATTCTGTTATGACGGCCAAAGTGTATTGTCATGCATACGATGTAGTAACCCGATCATGTTTTGTTTTGGGACGGATGGAGGGGCGAAGTCGCAGAAGGGCGAGAGGGGATGGTTAGTAGTGTTTTTGACCTGGATCAATACCCGACGTCGGCGAGGCCTCCGACGCCTCATAGTGCAAGGTCAGTAGGGTACCGTACTCTGTCGTTTTGAACCGCACCCTCTTTCTCCCTCTGAATTTGAATGATCCTGCGCAATGGAGGTTCGGATATAACGATCCTGTGACTGCTCTGAACGTCGACTTGAATTATACACTCATACATACACCCTCGACACCCCTCCTCTTAGTTCTACGTCATCACGGTCGTCGGTTTGCGCCATACAATTGTGTGTGGCGGGAATTTGGATTTATACCGATTTAATATAGTTTAGGATTCGCTCATATGCACGTTACGAGAGAGGATAATTCCTGAACGAACGTTCTAAAATAATCAAGTGAATCGATGCGCCTCAGATATACTGAATCGTTGTCATTCATCTACACTGATGCTGAACATTGAAAATACTGCAACAAGCCAAGTACACAATTCCAGCTCACACGGAAATCGGCATTTGAAGTCAGTCGTGTAGTCATTTTTACAAGAGATCAAGCGATGTCAAGTTAAGCTGCAGGTTATTTCGTTAGTTATTAGACGAAAGTCATGGGGCACGCGTAGTTGGTTGAGGCACTACGCTACAATCCGGAAACTCGAGGGTTCAAGTCTCGTTGAGGTCAGTGGATTTTTTCAATTGACCTAATCCTTCAGCCGCACTATGGCCCAGGGGCCGACTCAGCCTCTAACAGAAATGAGTATCAAGAATATTCTTGGGGTTAAAGGGCGGCCGGCGCGTAAGGCTGACAACCTTACCGCCATCTATGAGCCGACTGTCTAGAAAATGTGGGAACCTCAAGATATCACAACCCTATGGGCCTCCACGGCCTGTTACAGGGATACCTTTACTTACTTTTTACTTAGACGAAAGTCGGTGAATCATGAACTGAATCGATTCACTAAGACGAATCTCTGCGCATGTCTGTACAACAAGTTAAGTACAGCTGTTGCAAAACGGCGGAAGCATTGCTTAATAATCTAGTCTAGAAATGACAATGCTCTCTTACTGATAATCTTAAAACACATTTTCGTAACACGACTGCTGCAGTCATTTGCTTAGTGAACTTAACCTACATAAAGCGACAGAATTATGTTTTTGTAGCTGGTCGGTGACTGTGGTCTGCTATTTGCACTCGTATCGACTGTGAACATCTAAATTCGACAGTGAATAGTATAGTGTATAGTATAGTATAGTATAGTATGTACTTACAAACAGAGAGTTTCGAATCGCACAGATAATTCCCTGCCACCAAATCTTACATATCTCTTCATATCTCGTTGCACCATTTTGTTCCAGAGATAATGGAAATACTCTTTGTGTCTGGTGAGGAGGATGCATTTGTTTGTGTAGAAATAAATTTCCCATACTCTTGGGAGTAGACATGTCCACAGTAAAAACGTTCTGTTAGTGTTTGCAGAAAGTATGGGGATTCTATTCTGTCGAGCCGGGATTCTAACATGGTTCTAAAGTTCATTTAATAATGACATTGCTAAAAATTTACATTTACATTCTGAGTTTTAACAGAGGTGACCGTGAAGAATATGGTTTTGTGCGTTGTAACACGGCGTTAACCCAGAAGACAGTACACTTCATTGATATTTCGTGTCGAATACGTCATTCCGTGCATTTCCACGTGGGAAATTTCAGGTCACGCAGTTGCACTTGTCGAGCAAGGTGAAGAGCAAGCGACATTGTGCAAAATTGAACCGATGTATTGTAAATGTTGCATTAAAAAGAAAATAAAATAAGGCAGGGCATGAGAATACATTACGAGAAGTATTGCGTCTATTTCTATCTCTTTCTAACAGGGAGGGTTGGCTGCACTATTCCGTTCGTCTGCAACACAGACGGGGTTGAATGACCCGTTGGCATGGCGGGCTTGGGAAGTAGTGGAAATTTTCCACTCTGCACAGTGTTTTAGGCAGACGCTTGTGTGGTGGAGTAAGGGGAGACGTGGGAGGGGATTTTGGCGGTAAGATGGGGGGGAAAAAGCTTGGCTGCGGCTGGAAAGGAATGCTGGTAGCCAGACAAGCCACAAAAAATTGGAAATAGACTAAGTCATATTGTGGTTCTTATCGGTGGGTAAACCAGGAAGTTTGGCGGCTACCCAAGGGGCAAATTCAAGGATGGAATACCTATGTTTATTTTTAGACATCTTAAAATATACGTCTTTTATGTGTATGTTGTCCCATCAGTGTGAAAGTGTGTAAACTTTGGGATCTACAAAGATTGTTTGATTTTCAGTTGGCACAAATAGATCATTTTTATGGTATATCTAGAATTGTGTGTGAAAACCAGATAACTACTTCGATTTACTGAGAAGTGCTGATAAGATGTGCGTCAGTGAAGGGTGCTTTTCCACGGAGCGTGGCATGACGGAATTATATTGCCCAGTTTTTATCACTGGCAAATAAGTTACAGTCTTCAGTGATTGATAGCGACCAGACTGCCTGAGAAAAGAACCAGGAGAGCGTAATATTCTCCTCCAAATGAAGTTGATGTTGCTATGGTAGATAGCTCCGAAATTGGACAATACCTCCACTGCCTTTAGTTTACTTGCTGCTGAGCGGTAAACTGTGTTCTCAGGTGTTCCATTTCAAATGACATAAATATCAGTGAATAATCACAAAACTTAGTCAGATGTAAACGAATAATCACAAACAAAGCATAGGTTATAAATTGTTCTAGGAAAGCAGAGTAAGTACCACCACGCCGTTAAGACTTGCAGGAAAGTGTAAAAATTCACGTAGGCAGTGGTTAATGTGTGGTTGGTTTAGTTATTCAGCTGCCTTTAACTTGCGAGAAAGAAACTAAATTTTCGTAAAATTATGAAATAAGCAAATAAATGACATTAACAGTATCAGCATGTCAGTTGGGACAGTTAATGGCATTTTAGTATGTTAGCATTGTGTAATGTATGTTGGCTCATGCTGAAATGTAATTGGATTCATTCTTCTTTGCAGTTTCAACCCCGATGTCACTAGCAAGTGTTCATCCCATTGAAATGCATAACCGAGATCATAGGTAAGGCAGTTTCAGAGATGTGTGGCGGTGATACAATGATATGAAACTTTCAGCTCTACAAAGACCAGTAGAAAGATAGAATGATGTTTTTCCTTTATTACACAATAATCTGATACTGTAAAAGAATCTAGCCTTGAGTTTCAGAATTAAATAATAAAATCAAAAGGCAGCCTGGCCTATAATTCAAACTCACAACATGGTTAGGATGGAGGTCTTCAGGTTTTGGTATAACAGGATGTGTTTATTTTCTTCCAGTGGTCTGAGCAACAGGAGTCAGAGTATTGGGAGTTCTTTGGAAGAGCTCCACAACTACTTTGGCAATTCTGATGCCGTTCTGTCCATTGAGGAGCTCCGCCTGCAATTGAACTCTTGTTTCACGTAAGTTTATTGCACCACACCATTCTGCCTCACGAGAAACGTTAGTTGATGTTCTTTCAGTTCAGAAGATTTCCCAAATTGAATGTTTGAAATCAGTCTCCTGGTCTTATTACAAATGAGAGAAAATAAACATTACTATATGTCATTAATGAAAACCAGAAGTTATCTGTAAGTGTTGGAAATAGTAATACTTTTCAGACTTTGAGGAGACCAAATAAAATTATATTATATATATGTATAAATGAATGTATAAGGGGTGGGCCTTTTTGGCCCTTGCACCGTGACCTACAGTGGTCACGGTGCTTAAGCATTATACATAAGGGGTCTAATGGGGTTAGATTTGGATTATGAATGTAAGACTGCTACAAGTTTAAGTCCGTGCTCCTCTTGCTGGATTAAGATGTAAGAAGTGCTTTCAACAATACTTTGTTGAATCTGAAAAGGTCTGGTGATGAATGGAAAATTCTGATTTGCTGCCCAGTGGTAGCCAGTTTGTATGATGGTTGTGTTTCTGTGCATGACAGGTGTGGCGTGAGTTGGCACGAGGACCATGTGTCATTGGATTGCAGAGAATGTGGCGGCTATTCTTTGGAACGACCTTGCCCACTGTGTGATGGTCGCTGCAACAGCGTCTGGAAGCGGGATCTCACCATGGTAGGGGACCATGCTGACAAATTAAACATCATCTGTACCTGTCACTACCAGTCAGGTGTGCTAGTGAAGTGTTAGATATCAAGGCAGTAAGCAAATACTGTTTATTTTGCTTGCAGTCTCATGCATCTGGCAAGGCACGCTGGGAAGGTGAGTGTGCACTGAGGCGTCAGCCAGAACCAAGCCTCATCTTCAAGACCATCACGGCAGAAGAGGAATCTCGCCTGTGCAATCGGTTAGAGAAGTTGGGCGCCAGCTCATGACGATGCTCGTCTCATTAGTGGCAATGGACCAACTGAACAGACTGATGGGCACGGTCAACAAGACCAGCAGCTTGAGTGCGTGTTCCGAATCTCGTGTCCCATCATCCCACCTTTTAGACTGCGCTTAGAGTGAGTTGATGCTGCTGAATGTAAATGACAGTTGCATCAAGAGCACACTCCCGCCTCCCTGTTGTTATTTGAGACTGAGGCATGATCGTCTGCTGCCAACAACCACTGTCACCGCCACCACTTCCACCTTTGCTTGTAATCAGCTTGGGAGTTGCATGTACAGTTTGAAAAAGAACAAAATTCACCCTCATTTCATCTTTTTTCACAATGATACATTTTGTAAGTTTATTTATTTTTCAGTATCAGGTTTGTTCATCTGGCTGCTATGTCTCTGTAATCAGTTTCAGTTGAATGTTGGCGTTAACTTAGAAGAAGCAGAAGAAATGTAAATCACAGAAACTTTTGGAAATTTGTATCATAACGTGTCTTACATTAAATATCTTTAATGTTTTGGTACAGGGTATAAGTTGAAACTTCGTTATTAAGACAAAATCTAATCCCATAAGAAAAAATTTGATACAGTTGTACTATATCCCTTATGTTGGTTCACATGCAATCTGTTAGCTTGTATAATCACATTGTAACCTCAATATTTGTATGAAAGTTCTACATTTCAGCTTTTCTGCTTTTGTAAAATTCTTTAATTTACTGAAGAAAACCATGTTTGTATTAGAGGATGCCAAAAAAAGAAAGAAGGAAACCATAATTTTCAAGGCTTCAGCAAACAAAACTAATGTAACTTGTTAAGCAAAATGTCAGTATGTGCTTATAGATTTGGGCTAAGTTCAAAATCTCTGTAGTCAATGTCTTGTCACGACTGTGGTAAAATAAGTACTTGAAGAGTGTGAGTAATTTATTTCTGTGAAGAATCTTTATTGACTGCATTTATATTGTTCCTTTTTTAAAAACCATTATTATTATTTGGCATCAAAACAAGATTTTTTAATAATAAATTTTCAGACTGAAAAGATTATAGTTATATAAGGTCTTTGTTTTATTACTGTAGTATGTCTAGATGTTTGAGAAGTAATTTATAATTGTCACAAATATTCTTTAAAAGAGTCATGTTCATTGTTGTAGTGTAATGTACTTCACGACACATGAATGATGAACAATAAAATGAAGTAGTGCTGTAACATTTTACTTTTCATTTAACCTTGCAATTCCATTGCCCATACTGTGTCGGTTTATAAGGTAGAATGATTTCCATGGCATAGAATTATCTGGTTCATTCCACTGAACCGTATAGGTATGAGTTGTTAACGAAGATTAACTTATTTTATTAAAGCACGATAGATTGTTGAAGATTGCGGTGCAAGGGACAGATTATTATGGCCTGACCCTTATGCATTCATTCAATTTTGTATTTTTTTTTTTAATTCCCTTAATGGGCGGTGGAGTCCACTCAGTATGGCAGCCACTGATTGGCCTGTTGTAGCCTGCTCCGGTTGATTATGATGATGGAGAATTTGGTGGAATGAAGATTGGAAGGGGAAACCGAAGTACTCTGAGAAAACCCACCCCAGTGCCATTTTGTCCACCACAAATCCCACTTGACCAAACCCAGGCCACCGCGGTGGGAAGCCAGCAACTAACCACTCGAGCTATGGCGCAGCCAACTTTTGTAATTACAATTAGTTGGTAAAATAAATTTAGGTGCAGTGCTTGTGTAATAATGGCAGATATTTTTGTTACTTGGAAAGGGAAACTGAAATCAGAATAGATGATAACCACGTAAAGCAGAGGGAGATCTTATTGAACATGATATGCATTATGAGGAAGTTAGCAAATAATTTTCTGCATCAGAGACAGAGATTGGGTCAGATGTTTAAAAAGTGAAAAAAGTTTGCTGTACAACAACGGTGAACAGTAATTGGTACAGAAACAGAACAGTGAGCAAGAGTTGGTAATAGTTATACATACAAAAGATTACAGAATCACATGGTTTATGGTTACTTACACAACAATTTTTTAAAATAGGTAGCATAAAGCAGTGTGATCTGACCTTCATATTAAAAGACGATCAAAAGTGGAGTTTGCACTTGGGAATGAGAGATAATTCCATTTTCTAGACAAATTTTTCAGTATTTTCGTTCATTCAGTCTCATCACTGTTAACAGGAAATACAGAATAAAACAAATGAAGCTATATAAAAATCATAAAAATTATGTAGTATAAGTTAAATAATTATTAAATAATGTCACAATAAGGAAATGTGATGGAAGTGAACTGCCTTGGATTGAGAACTGAAAAGAAAAGTTGTACATACCCAAATTCATGTGTGATGGGCTGTGAAAATATTATATACTTTACTTTGACTATCATTTTTGCAGTCAGACTAATACATACAAATAACAGTGAATTTCACATTCTGTACTCTTATTAAAGTGAGTCTTACAAGATTAAATTTTGTATCTTAAAAAGTTGGTAACTAGCAGTATAGAATGTCAAAGATACTTAGGTTAGGTGGATAGGGTGACCTCTACCACATGCAGCAAAAGTCAAACAAGAAGCAGAAGAATGAGGATCACAGTTCTGTATCTTCCATTCACCAGAAAAAGAGGTAATTATTGCTTTTCAGCTGTCACTGACATGTGAAATAGTTGTAAGACTAGAATGAGTATGTCATAAGAATATAGAGTATCATTCATATATTTGAATAGTTTTTATCATACTCATTAAAACATAAATAATTATTTAAGTGTTATCAGAGCTTGTCAGGTTCTAGCTCATGTATTTTAAATGTACTGTATGTGTTTTATATACATACTAAGGACTTGATAAAGCTTAATTGTGACATATAATACAGGATGAAGAAAAAGTTTATACCAGAACATTGTGAAGGTATGAAAAGAGATGTGAGTTTAATCTTAGCCATAGTTGGGTATAGTGCTAGATTCATTCTTCACCTATTCCTGTTCCCTTGACAGAATCTTTGGTTTGAGTTCATCTCCTTTGAGGTACACAAGATGTTTTTAAGTGAGCTGTCTGGAAGAATGTGTATAATGGCCGAATTTCTGTATGCAAGTGTTTTTTTTTGTCAGACTCACAGAAGAACCAGAACAAGTTACACAAGTGGTAGTGGTTTATTTGTTTTGATAGAGTTACTTGTAATGTTTCAAATGCTATAATTGACTGTTAGGCTGTTTAATGATGCAGTGATCAAATCAAGGAGTGTGAAATGAGTGAGGCATATACCAGTCATGAAAGGTAAGAAGTGAATGTAAAATTTCAGCCAGAAAACCTGAAGGTAAGAGACAACTTGGAAGGCTTGGATGTGGATGGAGGACAGTATTAAAATTGATCTTAAAGAAATATGATGTTGACTGAATTGATATGCCTCAGGACAAGAACCAGTGGCATGCATTTGTGAACACAGTAATGAGTCTTATGCTTCCATAATATGTGGGATATTTCTGGTGATTAGCTGAGTGATCATTAGCTTCAGAAGGATTCTATTCCATGAAGTTTCTTTTAACTGTTGAGGTTATCTAGTAGTGAATGATGTGGAAATATGATTGTTAAGGGGAAATAAGGACTCTGCAGGAGGCAGTTGCCAATTTGTAGCACTCTCGAGGCATTTGCCTGGATGGACTGCACATAAACTCTCTGGTCTGGATAGTCAATTTTCCATTCAATATTTGAATCAATAACTCTTGAATGACATCTGGAGTGTTAACAGTACATCAGCCTGTTAATTCCTCTATGAAATCATCTCACATCATTCAGTCATACTTCAGTATGGTATCTAAAAATATAACATGACTTTTCCCCACATCTTTCCCAATTCATCATCATCATCTTGCCTTATCTGATCTCATTGTTACTGTTTAATGGCAGTGGTGTTAAATGAAACAAAGAAATAAACCCGTAAAATCTGAATTCTAAAAGCCATTCCGGATACAGTAATGAGGGGGAAACATCATAATTTGGGAATTAAACCTTGGTTATCCAATCTGCAGTTAGCTGCCATGTGACTGTTCCTTTCACTTCTTTGCTGCCACTTATTAGACAGCAATCTTAACACTGTCATCACTCTTTGTGCACCTGTTTTGTCTTTAAAAGTGATGGCAGAGCTTCACTGCAGGTTATGGTCTGAAATGGTGGTGTGTATCTAATTGCAGGTCAAGTAGGATTTAAGGATCTGATTGATGAGTTGGGCACCAGCAAATTAATTTGCAGTGGGAGGGTTAATAATGCTCCATTGGTGCAACTGATAGCAAAAAAGGATGATTTGTTTCATTCTGGTCCATCACACTAACAATATTACAAAAGGTTAATCAATTCTGTCCAGTGTGGATGAGGTTTTTTCTTTTTAATCTTTTATCCTTTACATGTTTTGGTCCTATAGACCAGGCATGTCCAACGCATTGATCACGATCGACCGGTCTATCACGGGACAATTTTTGGTCGATCTCATAGGCCTATAAGTGAAAAGCATGTAAATTCACTTGTAATATAATATGATTATATTCAGATTTTGAAGGGAAAATACATATTAAAGTAGTCTGTATTTTCAATGTATGTTGCTTTTACAACAAACATCATGTGTCATGTTATTTTTACCAATATTTTTGCTTAAAGCGAGGTATGACAATAGGAGGGGGTGGTAGATCACTGGCAGTTCTGACACTAAAAAGTCGATCACAACCTGTTTGAAGTTGGACATGCCTGCTATAGACCCTCTTCAGAAGGGTATCGATACAATTAGAAACCACTAAAACACCAACCACAAAAGATATTATAATAGTGGTTTCCATTCCAGCCATCCGAAGACACTGACACACTGCTTTCTGAATTGCCTCCCTTGTCTCAAAACGTTGTCCATGCAGCTGATCCTTCATAAATCTGAAAAGATGCTAGTTGGAGGGTGCCAGATCAGGGCTATAGGAGGGGTGTGGAAGAACTTCCCATCCCATCTTTGCAATTGCTTCCAAAGTGAGGCGAGCAGCATGGGGGCGAGTGTTGTCATGCAGGATGATGATGTTTTGTCCCCAACGTTTATCGCACAATGCACTATGGAGCTTGTGCAGCGTCTGGACATAATGAGCAGCATTGATGGTTTGCCCAGGTTTCAGGAATTCGGCCAGAATAAACCCCTCTGCATCCCAGAAGACTGTGCCCATCACCTTCGCAGCTGATGGCACTGTCTTTGCCTTCTTTTATGATGGAGAATGCAAATGGTGCCGTTCCATACTCTGCTGTTTCGTTTCAGGCTCGAAATGGTGAAACAAGCTTTCGTCACCTGTCACAATACAGAGCAAAAAATCATCGCCTTCATGTTGATATCTGTGCAGCAGTTCTGAGGTGATGGCTTTTCGCTGACCTTCGTGGTCTTCAGTCAATACCGCGGGACCCAACGAGCTCAAACTTTCCTATAGCCCAAGCTTTCAATCATGTGTGCCCTATTCCAAGTTTTCGGGCTATTGTGTCCACAGTCATACGCCTGTCATCTTGAATGATCTCATCCACTCTTTCCTTGTTGCGTTCAGTTGAGGGTGTTCGAGGACGACTGCTCCGAGGCTCATCTTCGATGCTGGTGTTCCCATCTTTAAAATGTTTCACCCATCTTCGAACATTGCTCACACCCATGCACACACTTCCATAAGCACGCTGAAGTCTCTGGTGAATTTCTGCAGCAGGAATTTCCTATTTCACAAGAAATTCGATGACAGCACGCTGGCGAAACGACATCGTTATCGGCCATTTTGTTAGGAGTGATACTGGTCACGTGATGCAAGCTATTGATGTCACAAGACACTCAAGGTTAACACAACAGGTGGTTCCACCTACCACCATACTCTCTTTCATCTGCTGTTCCCAGGTTGCATGCAAAAAAAGTTGCTCATGACTTTCGGTACGACCTATGTACATGCACCAATTCAGGAGTCTTGTGGTTTAACAGAATAGCACATGTTTGCAGCCTGATAAGAACCTAATCTGCATTAAGCAGATACCCAGACAGAGCACTAGGCATCCTGTCTGAGGCATCTTGTGCTTATTCTTTGTCCTTTCAAGTGATTGTTACCAGTTTCTTCCTTATTCTTTCCAGTTCACCATATATAATCATCCATTTCATTACATGATAAATGAAAATAGAAATTGACAGACAGTTGTTAAAGAAGTTATGAACCTTTGCTGTTAATGTCTGCTGGAAGTCGACATGCAACTCATGATGAACAGTGAATTCAGATTGCAAAGTATATTAAAATTAAAGTGAACTTGGTGTCAACTAAGATGTTAGAAGTACTTTTATTTGAGAAGAACAGGTAGGGAGAACACTGTGTCATTGGGTGGGCAAGTTGATACTGGGAGGAGGCAGGAACTGTTTTTGACCCCCCACAATTAAAACATTTCTAAAGGCTATGTTGGTGGGTTTGTCTTTAAATTTGGATCATTAGAAGGCTAAATCATGTTATGTAATGTTCCAATAAGTAGCAAATTAACTGATGTAAAATATTTAATTAACAGTATGTTCTGTTACAGGTATCATATATATTTTATAAATATCTGTTAAAACATGTTCTTTGCATGCATATAATTTTTAAAACATTTTGTAATGTGCACAATTTGGCAGTAAATCAGTGTATCATGTCCAGTGTGCTGTGAATTCCATTGTGTTTGTATGCATCAAACATTAGTTCACAAAGTGCGGTAACAACAGTGCATCAGACTTCTTTTGTCATCTCTGTGGCTTGTGCTGCTGTTTCTTTGTTCTGTTTCTGCCTTGATCTTGTTAATATTTCTTAATATTTGTTACATACTTGGTCTTTCAGAATAGACATCTACATTTTATTTATTTGTAAGGAATCTTATTTACTAATGTTCCTAAAATATTTTTTTTTGTGAACTCTGCAGCATATATATTATGAAGAAATTTCACAATGAGAAGTTTGGCAGTGTATGAAGAAACAGTATGAACACAGCTCACAGATACACACACAAAATTCACAATAATAGATAATTCAGTGTTTCATGAGATTCTGAACTGTATTTTCATGCATTACTACACTGAAAAGGCTGAGAAACACTGAATTAGATAATATATATTTCCACTTTTTATGTGGTAACATTCCTTATTGTCATATACCAGACCAGTTCATATGCTGAGCATTTTCAAATCTATCAGGGTTGCTCCATGTTATAGTGACAGTGATAAATTCAAAGGGGAGTAGCTGAAGTCACATTAATGATTAAGAATTATAAAACTGTTTAATGCAGAGTTTTTCAGATTTCAGAAAGACCTGCAATAATCTCCAAGATTATATCAGAATAGGATACAGCCTTGAAGTGTACAAAGATTAAGAGTATCATTTAAAGCTTCCATTTATGTCATAGCATTTGCCAACATCAGTGCTGATGGTAGTAAATCTATTAATTATCCTACTAATACCATATATACCATAATAAATTAATAAAATGTGAAGTCTCTTTAATAATTCTGTTGAGCAATGAATACACTTAATTTTGGAGCCATACAGGTAAATATTAGATATCAAATATTATATAACTCTTTCTATTATTTGTCACAGCAGAAGTAAGTGCCATAAGATATTGCAACAAGTAAATAATACACCATGTTCGTTTTAAAACTTCAAATATATTTAAAAAAAAAGAAACCTCCATGGTTTTAGCCTGCAAGCGAACTATACCGGCTGAGTGACTGCCGCTTGTCGGCGAAGTTAGTGCCAACTTTAGCGGTCAAATACATTACATCCCTTTTAAAATTATTTACTTTAGCAATAAACAAAAGTGTGTATGTGTATCACATTAATTTTTAACCTTGGGTGATAGTAAATCCCTTGGTACTACATTACTGGCAACTACATTTTAACACAAGGGTAAGGGTATTAGTAGAGAAAAGGTACAATGCTTGGCTTGTTGGGTCGTGTGTATGCATCATTATAATAGTGAAACACACAGCCACTTTGAAATGTTCATACTGAAAATAATGTGCACATCAAAAGCTTTCTTGGAGAAAGTAAATCAAATGCAAACTTTTAAAAGGTAATCTTTCATCTGAGGAATATTTTTGTCCTGAACAAATATGGGTTAGAATACTGTCATGCCATTGGGAAAGACATGAAGAAAATCTGAAAATTGCATCTGAGTCAAGTTTTAGAAGTATATTAAATAAGAGTTTCAGACTTTAGGAGCTACACGAAGTCCCATTTGTGCTTAAAAATTAAACCTGTTGAAAGACTCTCTTCTCATGAATTTTATGCCATAAGTTACAGGCAAAATTTGCAAGGGGCAAATACTTAAACCTTGTGGTAAACGATTCAGCAACAGGAAGTTTTTAAATTTCAGGTATTACAGAGATTTTAAAATGCAGGGAAAGAAATGTGAACTTCTGCACACCCATGTATTATGTGCATGATATTAAGTGAGCAACCCTAATAATGAAAATCATTACTAAAAATTTCACTTCTATAACAGTGTACAACTACAGTGCTTGGCAGTTCTCAGCTGGGAGATACAGTGTGACTAGTAATGATTCAAAACTTTGGCTTTCCACAATTTCTTCTATGATTCTTCTGACTGACTGTTCGTTTTTGAGAATGATGTTTATCCACTGAACACCATATACTACAGAAATCCTTACATCTTCCTATATTATAGTAGGTCCAATGTTGCACCAAACATTAGGATACAGCTTTCTACCATTACTCCAAAGTTTTGTTGACTTTTTGAGAAGACAAAAGTGCACCATTCCTCACTGTAATTCAAGGCAAAGTGTAAAAAAAAAAATGTTCCAATTTTCACCAGTAAGTTGAATTGTAAAACAATTACTCCATAGAGATTGTTGAAATTATGGTTCACAAACCAAACAAGTTACAGTAAACTTTACTTGTAACAAACGAATTCAGTTTGTTTACACAGCACTTCAACATGCATGATAAGACTTTTCCTTTGAATTTTAGATTAACAGAAATGTGTCCTCCTTTTTAATATATTACATGTATTTTATTGGTCTAGTGATCCATCAGCTCTTTCAGGACCAAATTATGTGTATTACAAGGGTTGGATAAAAAGTAGGCAACACTTCTGTAACATGAAAGATGTGTGTTAGGTGGCACTAGCGCCGTCTGTAGCTGATAGCAGTAGTTCAGTTGAAGTAGTGCAGTGAGTGGCTCTGGTTGGGTTTCATTGACTTGCATTGTGCATCATCTTGAAGTGCAGGAGCCCAGTTCAAGCACCCTAACAACATGTTTATGAAACAAGAACAATGCTCCTGGATAAAAATTGAAGTTGCACGAGGTCGTAGTGCACAAACCTGCTACCAGGGACTGCGAGAAGCATGTAGTGATGCTGCTTTGCCATATCGCACAGTGACACGGTGGGTGAAATTGTTCCATGAAGGGAGGGATGCCATTCAGGACAGCCGTCATTCAGGATGACCCCATGTTGACAACCACACAATTCAGCTTCTTGCCTCTTTGCTGGATGTCGATCGTTGATGGGCTGCGTGGGAGTTAGCTGCTGAGGTACGTGTATGTCACAAAACTATGCTCCACATTCTGCACAATATTCTTGGATACCGCAAAATTGCAGCGCATTGGGTACCCCATACAATGTCTGAGGTGCAACAATGGCAACGTTATGCAATTGCACAGGACTTGTTGGACTGGTACCAGAGGGAAGGTGATGACTTCCTTTGAAAGATCGTCACTCTGGATGAAACTTGGGCTCACTCATACAAACTGCACTTGAAGCAACAATCAGATGAATGGAAGCATCCCGGCTCTCCTCGCCCAAAGAAAGTGCGCCCTACACAGAGTAATGTGAAGGCGATGTTCATTGTGGCATATGACACTGACGGAGTGATAGTGCACCACACTGTACCTCAACGACAGACAGTAAACGCTGCTTACTACTGCAATTTCCTGTGTAATCATCTTCGTCCAGCACTCAGGAGAAAGCGATGACACTTGTTGGCAACGAACCCCATCATCCTTCATGACAATGCAAGGGTTCATACTGCTGATGCTGTCAAGGATCTCCTTTGCCGCTGGCGATGGGAGATACTGCAACATCTGCCATACTCACCCAATATGAGTCCATGCAATTATGATCTCTTTGCCAAAATGAAAGAACCACTGCGAGGGACATGTTACAACACAAGAGAGGAGATTAGTCATGCTGTAGGGTGGTCACTGCTGGACATCAACAGAAGTGGACGCGCAGATGGTGTATGATGCCTTCCACACATTTGGCAGAAGGTGGTACAAAAGGGGGGTGATTATATTGAAGGAAAGTAAGTGTGTTTAACTCAGGTAATAAAATCATTTCAGAACTACAGAGGTGTTGCCACTACATTTTATCTGACCTTTGTATGTTCACAGAATTGAAATGAATAATTTTCTAAACATATTAAAATGGAAAACAGTAAACAAGACTGGAAAAGCTGTACACACTGAACATCCATTAGCAATTCTGGACCAGTAGTTAACATCCATGGCCCTTCTAAGTCACCAACATTATTTTCTTGTGTGGCCATGGATGCTTTCATGTATGTAATAAAGTTATTCAGAATTGTAAGTATAATATGTAACATTAAAATATATTAGTTCCATTTTCTTAGAAAGTCATTAAGTTGTTAATTGCACCTTTTAAATTCTCCTGAATATATATATATATATATATATATTGACATTACATGTTCAATATAAAAGTTTAAACACTTATCTGCTGAGAATTTCTAGTTAATTTAACGCACGACACAAATCAGTCATAATTATTTGTTGGGATGAAACTGAATACATCATATTTAACGCAAAATTCATGTTCTCAACTCAGAGATCCTGAAACCTCACCAGTTTGTCATGCATGAGTCAATGGAGACTGTTAGCAGGTAAAAAATGTAAATAATGTCCTGTGGCGATACAGGTAAGTGGACTTTATTAAATGACTGGAGTCCTATCCTTACTTATCCTGTAAATAATGTTAGGTTAGGAACTTCTAACAGAGGAGGAATTAGGATCAGTAAATACATAAAGAACCCAGTATTAAATGAACTTTTTGAAAATTTGGATAACAATTCATTTTTATATTTATTTTTATTTTTAACATCACTAGTCATGATATTTATTACTGGTATTAATCCAAAATATTGTATTTCAGCATCCTGTTGCACTGATGTATCACTTTCACTTCTGTCTTTAATGCACCTTTGTTTACAATTACTCCTTAATTTAAAATAATATTAAAATTATAATTAAAATTAAACTGTTACATGTTTTGGCCATACTTGGCCATCCGATTTTATTGTAGCTTACTGTTGTTGTTGTTGTTGTTGTTGTTGTTGTTGTTGTTGTCATTGGTAATATTACTCTTATAACAATAATAATATATTTTAGTTTGGAGTGGCTATTATCACAGTATTTATCACTGATTTATAATGGACCTAGTCTCTACAGACAAGCCATTACTGTTTGTAAATATCATTACTTAATTCTCTGAAAGATACGGATGACTATACTTCATTAGTCAGGGATCAAAAATCTATTGTTTTCTTAAAACAGTGCAGGCAACATATTCTATGGCAACCTTTACAGGTTTACCATACTGTGATGCAGCAAACTTGTGCAGTGAAGAAAAATACAACTAATTAAAAACTGCTTTCCCAAACTTATGTGATATTTTTCAATTCTGTGTCTCAGCTGTTACCCTTAAACTACCAAAAGCCAAGTTACAATCCTCTAGTGACATTTCTCAAAACCATGTGTCCAGATTGGTTTCCTCTTCTCAATGAAACTTCGAATTCCTTCTTGACAGTCAGTCATTGTCAGATTTTTCACCATTATCTCTTGCCCATGCCTGAAAGCAGATATTTTGTATAAAAGTGTATTTTAAAATTGTACTATAAAGCAAACCTTTTAAATAAAAGTGATAGCATGCAACATGTCACATATGTAATAGATCCTTTTCCTAAAGTGCTATGTTGACTGGATACACTTTATATTAACAGTACTTGTTACTTTTTCATAACTAAGCCATGTGACATACATCATGCAACTTTCAAGGTATTAACTTGCAACTTGAATTAAAGTCAGAAGAATAAAAGACCAATGTTGCATTCACAGAAAAGATTGTAAGGTTGATTTAAAAACTATGAAATCTGCAATTACTATGGCTTTTGGTGATGTGTTTCATATCTGTCAACATATCAACAGACCTACAATATTTTCATTCAATAAAATATTGCTGAAAAGAAACTCATTCCTATAGAATGATATAACATCATGACAGAAACCTAGCATTCATGTTAGTTTTATGTACAGCAAGGTTTGTGTTGGTGTATGGTGCATACTTCATCTTCTTAATGTGCAAATACTGTTCTGGTTCACTGATGATACTACTAGTCACAGGTGCAACATTAACACTTGAACAGGAGGTCAGACCTTACACAGTGGTTGAGTCTTAGGCATTAAATTCAAACCATCATCTGGACAACTCAGTGACATCGTGCAATCTTGAACCTTTCCCTCCCAGAAAAATGACAGCATCAGTAAGGCAGGTTCCATTGTACCTGCCATGGTGCAATTTAGCTGACACATAGAGGCTAGTTTTCTATGGAATGTAACTCATGTATGTAGGTCTATATATTTATTAAGAGATGGCATAATATGTAGTATATTTGATTTGCAATATTTTATGCCACAGATCTTAGACACAAGTCTCTTCTGACAAAATTCTGTTAGAAAAGAAAAATGTAACAATGAAGAGTTCATTATTTTTGAGAACAACACAGTTGATTTGTTAATCTGAATAATAGTATGTCAATTTTGGTGGCTGATTTCTTATTTTTCAAACAGGACCCAAAATGAAAACCTAGACAGCACACACTTATTAGGTATTATAATCATTATTATATTAGTGATTTTCTTGAAATTAGTGACTCTTACTTTTGTTACAGAATCACACTATGAAGGCTTAAATGGGGCATGTAGATAAACCTCTATAGATTCTACACTGCATTGCTACATGGAGGTGAGTTGTGAGAATCATGTTCTGGCTACTGGGGAAATAACCCTTGTACTCATCAGATTAGAGTTCGTGTGGATCTTGGAACCAGTACAGATGTGGTGGTATATCTCTACTAGGAATTGAACCCTATCACCTAGCCTGTCACTTTCAGTAGTTAGTTATTTAGTTAATCACCTGGACTTGCTAACATCCTGTCAAAAAAAAAAAAAAGCTGAAAACCACTTCAGAGGCATCTAAAGATATTTTAAATAACTTATGAAAAACACACAAGCTGCAGTAATGATTCCTTAAATTTTGTGCAAAGAAATTACTTCTTCATAAATTTAACGCTTGGAAAAGCTAAAATGTACCAGTAACTGACTATTATATTAGGTGCAAGGATAAGGATATTACAGTACTACTGCACATTGTCAAAACTCGACCACTGTATACAGGTCAGTGATATGCAGAAGTTTTTTCAGACAGGCTTACAGGAATGCTGGCTCTGCCAAAATCACTTCTTTCAAATGAGATTGGCAATTGAATAACTGAGGCACAGGATGTCGAGTAGATGTGATGTCAATGCCATTGACGATGTACATGTAGATCACCTAGAGACATTAATTATTTTAAGCTGGTAAGATTTAAATGACAGTATGCCATTTCAGTATTATGCAAGTATGTTATTACATATTTTATTCAGAATCCACATTGTAATCAGAATGTAAAAAATAAATTTTAGGTTTCCTGCTTGAGAATGGATATTATTTACTTGAATAATTTAGAAAAAAAATGAATTTGGTGTTACCAGGGAGGTCAAAAGCCTTTAAGTAAAAAATTATATTTCCTTCTACTCTCCTATGTGATCTCCACACATCATAGAAATTAATAGGAACTACATTTTGGACACACTGCAAATTTATTAGTGCAGTGAGACATCTGCAGTATAATTGGTAGTCTTATTTTTGCTTCCCTGACAATTTGCAGTGCAGATCTCTGATTTCACAGTTTCTGACATTTTATTATATGAAGGTTATTAACTTTAAAACTTTACAAAGAACTAAAAACCGCTCTTAATATCCATTCTTTAGTGCTGAAGATTAAACTTGTTACAATGAATGGATGAATGTGACTTTGTTTTATGAATTTTGTGGGAAGAGAATAAAAAATCATGTAAATGTCCCTTGTGCAGAGAGCAGTACTAACTGCTGGGATAGAGGAGAGATTGACTTAATGGAAACTGTCATATTTAGTTGGCCAAGTCAGACTGTTTACATGCACAGAATTGTACCTGTAGTTTAATTACCGAAATTGTTGAACTGAAACTTAAAAGTATGGATTCTCTTCTTTAGATAAGGAAAGAACTGCTAGAATATGTAATCCAACTCTCATAGCAAATTAATTAATTTCAGTTATTTTTAAATGGATATTTATTAATGAAGTTATATTAGAAGTTTAACAATGATCATGTACAATCAGAATAAACGAACCGATAAGCCGTTTTGATATCCATCTCCAGCTGTTCATACAAGAACTTCTTTCCCAATTCCACTACTGAACGACTTTTGTGAATGATAGCATCCACAACTTTTTTAACTTCTTCATCTGAAAAAAATGTTACAACAAATTTTAAACAGATTATTTTATAACCTTCAATATATATATATATATATATTTTTTAATTTGCTTAGTGGGGGGTGGAGTCCAGCTAGGTCCACTTGGCACCGCGGCCACTGATTGGCCTATTGCAGCCTGCCCCAGGAGATTATGATGATGGAGAATTTTGAAGAATGAAGATTGGCAGGGGAAACCGAAGTATTCGGAGACAACATGCCCCAGCACCACTTTGTCCAAGACAAAACCCACCTGACCAGATCTCGGATCGATCCCAGGCCGCCACGGTGGGAAGCCAGCGACTAACCGCTTGAGCCATGGAGCGGCCCTATATATATACTGTATATATATTACTTAGTCCAAAGATTAGGAACAAGAGAATGTTCAGAAATCTCAAAACATTGTTCTAACTGATAACAATTATTACCATATTTTCCTTATTCGATGTATGCCAGTCTCTCATAAAAGAACATTTTTTAAACGATTAGCTGACTTTAATTTCTGTCAAATGCAACATGAAAGAATTGAAGCTACCCTGATACCCTATATTTCTTATAATTAAAAGCAGCAACATTATCATTTGAAAATTAAATGTAGGTGCAACGTTGAAATATTGTATAAAAAAATATGGAACTTCTGTAGAGGTAATTTAATTTCAGAAACTGAAAGTAAGAGTATTATGATGCATGTTTGATACAGATTTTGCTTGCTTGTTTGATGACAATAACTGATCAAATGTTACAGCTAATTGCAGCAATTAATTATTGTCTTTAGCCATTCATGTAGATGTCATGTCATTTCACAATCAGAGTCTGATGAAATTACATTTAAGAGCAGCATAGTTTCCAAAGATTGACAGCCATACAGAATATCCAGATTGAAAGGTGCTAATGTTTCTCCCACCTTAGACATTTACATGACTGCCATGTTAACACTGACAGTACAGAATATGAACACAGGGTGGGTGCCAGTCACATGATATTCATGCCCTATGAAAGGAGAAAATTTGGCTAAAATGCCAAATTATGAATAACTGTAAATCACTTGTGTAGATAATTGATCTCATAATTCACAATTATCTACATATTACTCATATTACTTTCTTTAGAAATCAATGAACAATGGATAATGTATGGTTATTAATGCCAAATCTTAGATATCACAATATTCTTCCAAAAGAACTGAGGGGCGTGATATAAAACCTCAATTAGAGCAAGTGGCTCCAGGACTCAACCTAGAGACTCTCTAAACACCAGTAAGATGCCTCACCGTAGTATAGATTAGTACTACAATGATAAATCTTAAGAGACCAGAATTTCCAATGTGTTTATGGGTGTTCAGCATGTAAAATTATTGTATGGCATCATATAGGAACAATGGAGTTTCTTTTCATAGAAAGGTTTATAAAATAGACCAAACTGTATTTAATTAACTGTTAAATTACCAGAGAAGATGCTCAGCAGACAAGTTGGCTTGTAATTATTTACAGACAAGATACAGCACTGAAACTCCATTTATAAAAATAACTGATATTATCATATCTCATTTGATATATTCCTGAGCCTCACCAGTGAGGCATGCTTTACATTGTGAAAAACGCTGCTCTACCTATACATCTTATTAAATTTTTGCATATAATCACATTATAATTTGTCCCACTGATATAAAATTGTTCAATTTATGTTATGTATTTAATTTGTTTCATTCTGGTCCGTCACACTAATATTATGAAAAAGTTAAATCAACACAACACAGCGGGCACATACAGGACAACATTAAAGAACCCTCTTCTCGAGAACGAGAACGTGGCACGCATTCGGTCCCTGTCAAAAGAAATAATAAGAGGGACAACACGAACCATCTTGGTTTACTAATTCCAATAGAATCTTAACAAACTAACTATAAATATTTTAATGTATTGGAATAGCTGCTGTAGTTGTAAAGACTTTAGATTTTACAGCCAATTGTATATTATTTATATTGTACGTATATATTTTAACTTTTAGAACATGTACTGTAATAGTGGCGTCTAACAGTATTGATGTAAAGGTGTCCTTCTGAAGACCAAAACATGTAAGGGCATAAATAATTGAAATAAGAAAATCTTAACCAGTCACACTGGATGGAACTATTTAACTTTTTCATTATGTTATGTACTTGCATATCTTTAACACTTGTGGGTAGCTGGAAGTGTAGGAACATTAATTTATTTTTTATTACTGAACAAGAATATGCCCTGGGATGTGAATTGGACAGATAGGCTCAGGTTAGAATATGGTGTTAGGCTTTTTTTGATAAAGGTGATGAACATTCAGATGCCATAAGAGGGAATTCTTGAATAACTGAGCACTCATTGAATGTGCAGGGTATGCAATGCAAGTGGAAGCCAATTAGGTTCGTTAAATTGTGCCATAATCTGATGGTTATAGGGCATCCTGTACTTATGTGGAAGTTCTATGATAATATGGGGACATTTATTTTGAAATATTTGGTACCATTTAGGCAAAATATAACAGAATACTGAAGTGTTAAACTGTCAGTTTGTTAGATGAATGAACAGACATGTAGATAATTGTGTGGTAAATTATTTGCTCATCATATATAATTAAAAAGCACATCATTAAACAATGTAGGAAATTCTGAAATTAGTTAATTTTATTTATCACTGCTGTATATGACAGTTCATCACATACACGTTTATGTCTAATCATCCATCTGTTACATTTACTGCCACTTTCTCTGTCTCAAAGGAGTAGATTCATAATACAAGGTGGTTCAAATATAACTGGGACTGATTTTTTTGTAAACAAGCCGTACTCCGCAGCAGCTGTGCGACCTTGAAAGATTGAAGCTACAACCTCCACCCTCCCTCCTGTTAGGGTTAGAACCTTGTTAGGTCCTGTCTGGAAGTTGCTAGAGTGATGAGAGAATAGAAGGTACCGTGGAGCATGGAACAATGCATTGTGATCAAATTCCTCAGAGAAAACGTCCAGTCCACTGAAATTCACCACAGACTCCAACAGCAGTATGGGGAAGAGTTTCTCTCACGGACCCGTGTGTTTGAGTGGTGTAAGAGCTTCAGAGAGGGCAGAGAGCGCATGGAGAATGAACCGCATGATCGTTGGCCGCGAACATCCACCACCGAGCCGAACATTGATCGTGCAGACGTGCTTATTCGTGAGAATAGGCGCATCACTATCAAGGAACTTGGAGTAAGATCCAATCCAAGCGGAAGACAGGTGAAAAGCGGGTAGCCTTCCTTCAAGACAGTGCACGCCCCCATATGGCCAAAACAACAATGGAAACCCTTCGGAAATTGAAATGGAACCTTCTGACACATCTGCCGTACAGTCCCGATTTGACCCCAGGTGATTTCTACCTGTTCGGAAGGCTCAAATCAGACTTGTAAGGCATGTGGTTTGTGGACGACGCCATCATCCAGACTGTTCGGAAGTGGATACGCCGCCAACCACAAGTCTTTTTATTTGGGCATCAGGCTGCTTCCAGAAAGTTGGAAAAAATGTGTTGACTCCGGAGGGGAGTATGTTGAAGAGTGACATGTGCAAGTAAGTGTTTGGCAATTATGTTTTTTTTTTTTTAAATCAGTCCTGGTCATATTTGAACCACCTAGTACATATTAAAATCACACAAGCCTATTATATGTCAATAAACTTTGATATATTTCTTTAGGCTGTTAAATTCCTTCCATGTTAACAGCAAAACTAAGGAAAACAATGAACACCCATAGTCTGTTCTGTTACACCATGTTTTCATACCTAACTCTTCTTGTGAGACGACTTTACTGACAAGACCTGCCTGCAAAGCCTCCTGAGCTGTAAGAGGAAGTCCAGTGAATAGCATCTGAGCAGCAACTTTCCTTGGAACTGCTCGGCATACAGCAATGCCAGGAGTGGAGCAGAAAATGCCAAAATTGGCACTGAAGGATTGGAAAATACAATTACATGCACCATAACAGTATAATTACAAAAGGCTGATGATTCACTATGTAGGTAACTGTTAGAATGAGTTTGTTTTTATATAATCACTTAAAAATAAAACAACATTCAAGATTAATTTGTGCAAAGAACTTTTATTACCATAATTAAAAGTAACCAAAAAATAAATTTAACTAAGAAAATATGTTAGTCGATTAATGTGTTCCTTCTAGTTCTTATATGGTAGCTATTGAGTGAAAGATTAAGGTCCAGAATGAAATTCAATTAAATGTCTTCTAAAGAAGTGTGCAACTGAACATTACTGTAGCTAGTAATGCCTTAATCACTTATAAATGCCCATGGGATATAAATATTTTGTATTACCAGTCTTCCCATAGGATGTAATTTTTGTCTTATCCTTGTATCAGATGAACAAAATAATAATAGCATATATCAGTTATAGCAAAAATTTTAAGATTATGTCACTTGGGTCAATACTTTATGGAACCAAGCGCCTAATTTGATGCCCCCATGTACAAAATCCTGCACTTAATTGGAAGCGCAGGATTGCTGAGGGGATAATCAAAAAGGGAAGCATAATAGATCACTGTTTACTAGTTTACATGAAATCCAACTCGAATACCTTCATAACCAATGCAAATGTACACTCATATAATACAAGAAGGAAAGAGGACTTATACATTGTTCCATGCAATACAAGCTTGTGTAAAAACAATTTCAATAATCTTGGTCTTCGTCTTCTAAACCATCTACCGCAATACATTAAAGAGATACCAGCATTATGTAAATTTAAAATTACTTTGAAAACATTTCTATTAAAACATTGCTTTTATAGCATAGATGAGTTCCTCTCCTATGTGGACAAGACTTAGTTCACATTAGGATCATATAATAATTTAAAAGTAAGAACAATTGAGCTTAGCTTAACACACGCTACGAGTGTATACTGCGTAACTCTCTTCTTGCAGGAAACAGGACGCCATGTGCTGGAGAAAACACAGCAGGGACTATGGGATATGGAGCCGAGGCGGTGGGAGTGGTGCTGCTAGAAACCAGTGTATCTGGGAGGTCTTGTGACCGGCCAATT